TTTTTTTTTTATTACAATAAAATCTAGTCCTTTAAAGCCCTTGCATGCTACACTTTGCATGGACTTAATAGCTTTTCACCAGAGGAACTGTCTACACAGATGAAGCAGACACAGCACAGCAGGAAAAGCAGAGGCATGAAGGAAGAAAACTGAGCAAATGAGGTGGCAGTACTGCAAATAAAATCCAAGTCCTTTGATTTTCAATCTCTTGACCTAGGAGATCAAACTTCCTGTTGATGATACCAGTATTGAGCAAATCGAAACACGCCCACACTTGTAAAATAGTTAAAATCAGGTGCTTGTTCAAATATTTTGCAATAAACAGCTAATGCAATGAAGTGTTAAAACAGTGGTCATGCGCACATATACAAGCTTTCTGTTATTATAACTAAACAGTATTGGAAATCAGCATAAAAATTAAAAATTATTGATAGACAGTAAAAGCTTTTTTTTTCAAGTTAACTGTTTTTCTCATGTCATATAGCTCCAGAAAAAAATAGAAATAGGAACTTTAGCATCCTCTTGTGGCCATAAGACTACTTTGTAAACACCTAATCCAGGGATTTATTTTCTCTCAGCAGAAAGAACTTTTGTTTACCTTAATTATACTCAACATCATATTTCCATACCACATCCAACATCAACATATTATCAAAAGGAATTATTACAAGGTTATTAGAAGAAAGAAAAACACACTTAAAATCAAGACACTTTTCTTAAAATTTCACACGTTACAAATCATGACCTGCCAACCAGAAAGAACTGGAACATCCTTTTGTTGATACTTTGTTGTAAAACATGGTTTTCATTTGAAAACATATCTAAGAACAATAATGTGCTTAGAAATTAATGTAATTAGTACATTTTGCTAAAGTTGATTCAACACATGGTGTTATATGAACAACAGAGGTAATTCTTAGCCAATGCAAGTTTAACACAGTTTAACAACACAGAAATCATGCAATTATGGGCTTGATGATGGAAAAAAAAAATCATGTATTACAAGTTATCAATTGACTTTGACAAAATATAAGGTAGGTATTAACGTCACAATCTTCCAGCAAAATTTAACATGTAGCTGGAGACCGTTATCAGGCAGACACTACGTGTGTCACTTGGATCCTTCTTCAAACCTGCACAAAGAAGAAAAGTGCCAGAAAACGGAACCCTGCAATGCTCCTGCTCTACAACTACTTGCTCTACCACTTACCTGACTTTAAATAGGAAGTATTTTTCTAATTCTTAATGCTGAACCATTCTTATTACATATTAAGCTGACTTTAAATTTTTAAATTTTGACTTTAAATTTTTCTAATTCTTAACGCTGAACCATTCTTATTACATATTAAGCTAAATAATTCTTGCTTTGTTCACTAGTCTTGGAGAACAGAACACTGCTGTCTTTCCTATACATTTCTTTCACAAATCTGAAGTACACACTTACCAATGCCAAGCTTTTCCAGATCTTTATTTTTCCCAAATATCGTTATCAAGCTATTTGTTTCTAATAATGCATGCCCACATTTGATTTCTGTTTGGCATATCCTTCCACACTTATCCTGACTCCCTTCCTTTTAATTTAAAACCTTTCCAGATGATTCCAGATTTTAAACATCTATGTTCTTCAGATAAACTGAATTTTGCCACTACAAGCAAATTTTATACTTACTATTGATTTCACCATCCACATCCATAATGGAATTTTTTTTTAAAAAAAATCTTTTAGACTCCATTGAATCTTTCTCTAAAGTTGCAAAAATTACTCAGTAAATAGCTAGTTATACAATCACTTATTTCAAATTGTTTCAAACATCATGCAAGATCCTTGTACATGAGGATGGTGACAGATACAAAAAATGTAGCATATTCAACCTGAAAAACGTGTGTGTGTTTTTTGAATAAATGAGCCATTTATAACCTTAGAAATTAATTATTAAAATGCTTGTTCTACCACCTAAATTAGGCTATCACATTTATAATTGATAGGGTCATCCCTTTTAAACATGCAAGCACTGCAGCTGCACTTTTCTACCATGCTGAAATCCTGCTCCTTGAGCGCTGCCAAACAAACAGCAGTGCTTCACAACCTGCTTCAGGAGTTCCTCTTACCCATTTAATAGCTTTGCCAGTAAAGCTTCTTGCAAAACACTTCAGACACTTGCTAATGTTAACTGTAGAGCATTTTTTCCATCAAGTTTAACATCACAATTAAGTATTTTTAAATTATTTCCTGGTCCTTATTCAGACTTCCTGCTTAAACAGTGGTTTTGCCGCTGTCAATCTTCAGGGAAAAAAAACTTCTACTCTCACAGAAGAGTAAATAGATAATGAAGAAAGGATAAAGTCTTTCAAATATGAGATCTAAAAAGCCATAGACTTTCACATGTTGAATCAAATAGCATTTTCAATCAGCAGTAAGTACAGTCCTAAACACACACATGAGAAGCTTTAATGTTGCCTGTGAGCCAGTAACCCCCTTGTAAATTGATGAAATTCAGTCACAAAAAAGGCAATCTGTAAAAGTAAATTGTTTACTCGTCTCTTGAGAACCTAAGTAACAGCTGTACACAGACACCTCAAAATCAGAAGATCTGCTAATGATTCCTGCCAAACTCAAGGTATGTTAGACCTGAGATTGTACCTATGTTGAGCACCCCTGTGGTCAAAATACCATTTACACTGGCTGCACTTCAAACTGGTGGATTCCCAGCAAAAACAGACTCAAGTGAAAAATCCAGAAACTGAGGAACTATCTCCCAAAGCAAAAATAGGCAGGATTACTATAAATCAGCATGCATGGATGTTAATTGATCCTTTTTGATAGGAAAGGAGCTAAACTCAGATTATTCCTCTGCAAAAACAGTTGAGAGTCAAGGTGGGAAAAAAGAAAAAAGGCAAAAAAAAGTATAAAGTATTGCTTTTTTAACATATTATGGGAAAAAATAGAAAGCTCTGCTCCCACCTGGTGGCAAAAAAAATAGTACAGAAAGAGGAAAAGTCTTGAAAATTAAGTTAAAGTGGAAGCCACTTGGGCGAGACAGAATGAAGCCTTTTCACCTAAACTAAGTCGTTCTTGGGTTAGCTGATACAAAATAGTTCACTATCAAATGATACCTTATGATTCTAAAACACAACATACTCTAGATGTATGGGTGCAAACAGACCATAGTCGCCTTCACATACACACTTCTGTACCCTTAACTGCATTTGTGACACTTGGTGAAAGCACAGAGAACTTTGCATTATTCTGATTACCCCTGAACAGGTCATTTTGAGTAATGAAATCATTACAGCCTGAGGAAGATAAGAAATAGTCATGTACTTCTGGGTTTCCTGAATAGATATGTCCAGGTCAACCTCTGGTTAGAGTAGAAAACAACCTCAACTTGAAACTGTCATTTGCTATTTTATATTGTGCTTGCAAATTAGCTTGCTGCATAAATCAACATTTTGTACAAGTCTCTTTACATACGGACTGTTTCACAGATTTAAAACAATTTTTTTCAAACACCCACGAGTCAGTGACATAATACAGCTAATTGGATATTTTCTTCATTTTGTCATAGATTCAGCTTGCAAAATCACACATGCACATTTTAGCATTAATCATGAGCACCCTAGATAGGACGGTACCAGCAGTCAAAGCCTTTATATTACACATTATCGTTCCTGAAGTATCCTCTGGACTGTTCATGATTATTCTTAAGGAATTCCAAAAGCATCAGGAATTTCAGCTATTTTGGCATAAATATAACAACGCTCTTCTCTCTCCTGGAACGCATTACAAGAAGATCATAAATACTGGATAACTTGACATACTATTTTCAGTGCAAGCTTTTCTCATGTATTCTTCTCATTACAATAGCACACAACCGAATTTACCTGGTGCATTTAAAACCACAGTTCACTTAAGCACGTTGCTCACAGCTAGCAGTAGTTTTGCTTCACTTCGAACAATAACATGATAATTTATTGTTGGATTTTTTTACTCATGGGGGTAACGCATCTCATACCTCAGAGTAACAAGCACCTTGATTACAACATTAACAGAGGGCTCTTCCCTATCAATACTGTACACTCCTGTTTCTAAGCAAAGTTAATCCCCTTCTACTGTAACATCCACTCGTGTGTGTTAACTATACCTGCAATCTTTATGGCTACAGGATCCTCTGAAACTGGAACAGGCCCCTCTTTGACTTCAACCTGCTTTTCAGGGACCAGAGGAGAGGTGGCGGGAGGGGTATACTTAGTCTCAACATAGACCACGGATGTGGAAGCAGAGGGCTTGGAATTGTGAAAAAGACTAGCCCACGATTTTGTAGGCTGATTAACAGGGCCTGATCCTGCAACCGGGACTGTTGTCTCAGTAGTAGGTGAAGCTTCCTCGGGCTTCGCTTGGTCTGAGTCAGTGCTTTCCACAGTGTGCAATTCTACCCCATTGGCAGCTGTGTCCTCACCAGAGGATTCAAGTGTTTGTCCATTAGTAACGCCAAGGTTTTCAGTAGTATCAGTACCAGCATAAGACTGTACAACAGCTGTCCTTAAAGGGCTATCTCTGCCAGTCTCTGAGGGGATGCAAAACTGTTCAGAATTAGTAACACTGCATACCTCAGGCTGCCCTGCAGTCCTGGCATTGTCTAGCGCGCTAGAAACAGAGTCATCAGAGACAGCTTCATTAACGAAGTCTACAGAATTGTCAGGGCTGTTACAAGTCCTCGGTGTGGCCAGGGACGGTCCCTCTCCCGCGAGATCTGCATCCTCCGCGCTTATACTGTTCAGTCCCGATGAGTTTGCGTGGCCATTCACAAGAGCTTCGGGGGGAGCAAGGCCATCGCCGACGTCTTCCAAGTAACTGTAGTATCCAGGGGGTCTTTTTTTCTTCTTTTTACGCTCCCTTTGCCCAAGGCCTCCAGACAAGCCATCATTTTCAGCATTAGAACTGCTGTCCAAAGCGAGGGCTGGATCTGAGAACTGGCAGTCAATGGAGTTGTAGTTGGTTTCACTAAGACTGTCATCGGGGGCTTTCTGAGTAGGTGCACAACTGAGAATAAATTCTGGAGCCTGAGGATTCAGAGTGCTTGAAATACTGTAGTCAGTGTTATTTAGTACAGATGACTCTGTCTCAATAACTTCATTAACACCAAATTCAATTCTCTGATACTCTTCCCCTGCACAAAAGAAAGTGAAAGCCAGTTAGTGAATGAAATGTAACCAACAAGCTACGAAAAACAACAGCAACAAAATACTTCTCTAACTCAAAAAATGCAACCAATATTACCTCAAACTAAAGTTATTCTTAAGCTTTATGTAAATCCTGAAGACTGTTTTAAAAAGATCACCTTCCTGGAAAAAGTCAGAGTACAATCCAGCTTTTCTTGAATCAGGTATAAATATTCCTAACCACTACACTGGTTCTTGCAAGAAAATCTATTAAACTGACCTAATAAGAGCACCTATTAAAGCCTAACGACTTTACCAATATTCTGCACTAAGCTAATTACAGGATACATGCATAAACGATACAGTGCAACATTTAAGTCCTCACTTCTAATGCCAGTCTTTTCAACAAAAACTAGAAAGCCCAAGCTTAACTTTTAAAACTAATTTCCACATGTGAAAAGGTATAGGGTTTGTTTTTGTGTGTGCAAAAGTTTATTGTAATCAGTACTAAAAAAAAGTGTTGAAACACTGAAATTATAGGTTTTGGAACTCATGACTCATCAATAGTTTGCTTAAATTTATGACTGCTGACTAAATAATTATATTACAACAAACTCAACAGATATACATCAAAGCAGGTCACTGTCTTCAGCTCGTACTTGAAGACACTACTAAAATATTTGTGGACAGAACTTTCTATTTATCCTGGGGCTTTGATATGTTTTTTAAATAAACGCTAATAAACATTCTCATAGCAGGCTGCAGTATCACAGTGTTTTGTCAGTCACAAAGTACTGCGATTTTTCTATTAATGAGCAAGTCCCATACACACTCCAGCTCCTAATTCCGCATATTTCAGCTGTAACTGCTTCCATGAGCACCAAATAAGGATGTAAAATTGATGAAACTTGCAAGTCTCAGATTCTTAAGATAAATACTAAACTGAGAATTTAAAAATTTTACAGGCCTTTCTATGACACATTATTGTTTCAAAGACATCAGTTTTAGTACATCTGCCTCCTTGAAACTGGGGGGGGCTAAAAAACACATTTTAGACTTGTAAGAACATTGCAAGAGACTCAGATACTAGATACTAGATTTCAAAGTTAATATAATTGGATACACACACCATTATCCCTTTCCAAAACTTAAATATTTTGTTCAACTTATTAATGTTTCATGTAACACATTCTTAAATGTATCACTCATTTTAATGAATTTGCATTGAACACAAGAAAAAGTCAGTAATAGCTCCTAAGGAAAAATGTTACTGGTATCCCTAAATAAAGCTGACTTGAGGACAGACTTGGGGAGAATGTTTTGATCCATAATGTGGAACTGTCTGGAAACTGAGTTTTTAGAAAAACTCATCTGACTTTAAAGAAATATAAAAGAAAAACTAACAAAAATCTACAGGGTACATAGCTTTAAGATTAAAGGAAGAGTAACAAGCATTCAATGTGGTGTGGTGTAACTTACGCAATAATAAAATATTACAAAGTAACAAAGATCAATCTTAGACAACCATATATTAAAAAAAACTTAAATGGGGGGGGGGAGGGGGGAAAAAACACCCAAAATTTCAGCATGTCATTTCATGCCAAATCACAGTTAAAAACAAATAGTAAATACAAATGTTAATCACGTCCCCTCAGTACTTTAATTTATTAATTTCAGAAGTAAACACACTTGACACGGATCAAGTTTTGATTTTCCTACTAGCTGGACTAAAGAAAGCTGAAATTCAAAACAATACATTATTTCAACTAATATGCCAGAATGAAAATAAAGAAGTAAAACCCTCACGATACCAGCCTGATTTCTCTAACTCACATGAACAAGTGGCTGAATTTCAACTAGGAGCTACTTTGCAGTCACTGACTATGTATCACTAAACAGAGAAAAATGCCTGAAATGTCTTTAAAAACCAGTAGCCTCGGGGCAGGGATGTGGAAAGGAGCTACCTGATGTTCACAGAGAGGGACGGGCCGGGAGATCTCGGAGTGACCTACTCTGATGCACACACACACACGGGCTGCCCAGTCGGCACCCGCACAGCTCGGAGCAGCCGCAGCTCCGGCTGGTTGCAGCAAATTCCTACCAATCCCAAATAATCCAGGATTTCTGCCTCTTTTCCAAAAAATCCCTGATAAAAATAATTGCTTTTAAATCAAGACAAATGCCAGAGCCTACTCCAAAGCAAGTAGGCAGCAGAGAACACCACAAACTCCCTTTCAAGTGTGGCACAAGGTTAATAGTGCTGAAGGCAGAGCATGAACACAGCAGGTTAAATCTAACCAAGAGCAAAACTGATATTCTAGCATAAAAAATAGGATATTAGAGTAAAGGAACTAAACATTTACAATTTACACTAGGACAAGCATAAAAAATAGTATTTATTTTATAGATAGTATACAGCAGTGCTGGCAGAAGCTCACTTGGCCTAAGATTGTGCCAACTTCCTTTGAAATACGAACAGATATTTTTATTTTGTTACGACTTTCCTCTTTGCTTCTGGGCAGCTTTGTTTCAATCTTGTTCACTGTGTTTTGAAGTTCTACTGCTGAATGAACTAAAACAGATAAACCTAGAGGCATGAACAACATCACGTGCACATTGAGAAAAGGGTCAACACATGTTCCGAGGACAAAGTCAACATACTGTAACAAAAGTCCTTAAGGCATAGCACTAATTAGTGCAAAGAGCATTCTTAATATTAGAGCTTCAGCTATAATTCGGTATTATAGTTAAATATTGCAGATAAGTATTGCAGATAAGGATAAAAAAGTTATACTATGGAGTGACTGCATGGTCAGTATGGGTCATCTCATTATTATTATAAATATTCTGCATAAGCGGAGCATTCCATTTTAGTTTCCACAGCTTCTTATGCAGCCAGCACAATGATAATATGCATGCACAGTACAGTGCAAGCTTGTTAAAGACATTTTTCAGACAAAACCTAATTTGCTGTCATTACCTAATCTCAGGGCTGGGAGAGATTCTCTCGGGGTCTAGGAATGATCTGAAAAACATTTGTACAAACCAGCTTTCCGTACGGCTTGCGAACATCGAAATCTCAGACTTTAAGAACAGAACTTAAATCCACAATTAATAAAGCAACATATATAAAGGGAAGCCCCTTTATATCAACCACAAAAAACTTGTACCAGAGTAGTCCTTTCAATTAAATTTTTAAGCTCCTACTTAAAACTATTCCATTTTAACCTACTATGGCTGGTCTTGCACTGAATAAAATTTCCCAATTTCCAGAAATGCTGCACACCTGTTTTCCAAGGGGGTTGCTGCAATCTTTATGATGGTTATCTTATCTACCTTCATACACAGGGCTAACGGCACCGAACAGAATGATCAAGTGATCTTCAGCATGTGCGTTTTGGTCTTCCTAAACACTTTCGAGAAATGACTAGATATTTCCATTATTTTCAGAACATCTGGACATCATTTCTATCATTTTCAAATATGTCTGGGTAAGTCTCAGTCACCCTGCTTCTCCCAATTCACAAAAAAAAAAACACACACGCAAAAACCACGCATGTACATCCCAATAATTTATCTGCTACTTAAAATGGATGTATTAACATACAGTTATGGAAAATCCTACTTATATGTCAACTTTATGCAACTATAAAGTCAGGCCTTTTTTAAATTATTTTTAAGTGAAGAGCTTGTGGCAGAGTAGAGGCATGATCATTGTAGCTCTACAACTGGAACTTCACAATGCACTTTTAGATCAAGAATCATACTTTCAAAAAAGAAAATAAAAACGAAGGGGTGGGAAGAGGGGAAGAAAAAGGAATTTCCAGAAAAAAAGCTGACCAGACAAAACGAGAACGTCAAAGGAAACGCTGAACAGAACATCAGCTTCAGGTTGCAACTGCCAACAAAACATTCATTTGATGATGTTTACAGGAGGGCCAGTTGAACTCCATACGAGTTATTCACTTCCTGAGTGCAAGTCCTCTAGCAAAAGTTTAAGTCCCTCCACACTTGTACCCCAGACTATCTTGCTAAGATGCTAAAATTGCATGGTAGCACAACCAAAGAAGAATAAGCATATCCACTTGAATTAGCTAAAAAAAAAGTAGCAGTCCAGTATTTTCAGAGATTTCATTCAAGAAACCAATGTTTAGAAAAAAAGCAACCTGCCAAATACATGCACACACATGCTAATTAAGCTTTAAAGACTAACTTTACAAGCAGCCTGTGGTGATTCTATAGAAAGTTTAATAATTTTCAAGTTATGAAAATGAATGTTAACTTCTTACCATCATGAAACTCACCTGTGGATTTAATACCACATGAAACTGTTTCATTGTAAGGGGGAAGCTGTACAAAAAAAAGAAGGAAAAAAAAGAAAAAAAGATTTATTTGAAGACAAAACAACTCCCTTTCATCCTTTAAAAACAACATTATTGTAAAAGTCTAACTTTCTGAGTGTCATGTAGAATGCTTGTTTCTGTATTTATCAAATCCCACACTGTAATTTCAAATGTCCTTGCAGATTACCACAATTAGTGAAAGATTATCATAGTTGCATCAACTTCTGAAGCAATTTACTGCAGAGCCTCAGAATCCTTCTTCAACAAGAACTTACCATAATTTTTAAATATCCTCTTTCTGGATAAAAATTGAAGATGAAAATAAACCAAATTATATGTAGGATGAAGATGCTTCATGTAGACAATACTCATACCTGTATCTTTTCACTCTCAACACATTTTAGTTACAGTATTGCCCTTGAAATGTTTCAGGTAAGTTCTCTTCTTAATAACTTAATAAAAACTTAATAATAATCAAACTTAATAAAAATAAAGATGAGAGATGATCAAACCAAGCATGATGTGGCCAAAGCACAACTACTAGCAAATAAATCACAACCTGGTCTAACACATTAGCACCATTTTATGTATTAAATGGTTGATAGAACCCTTTCACTTGTGTAACCACAATTTCTAATGCCCCCACCCGAAGACAAGGACTTGTTGCACCTGCCATGAGCCGGCCACTGGTGCACAGCAAACCCACAGCTCCTGGAGAAGAGCTGAAGTGTCCTGTATAGGGAGATAAAACTGTTAAGAGTGCAGTGCAGTTTATAATGCTAGCCTCAATATCAAATGCAAGCGTAGCAAGTATCAGAGATTTCTCCACTCAAGGTGTTGAGTTTTCCAAAACTGCAGGTATTTGTGTATTGCCTTCTTAAAGCACTGGACAGTAGTAGATCCCCAGCAGTGAGAAAACTCATTTTATATAGCTGTATTAAAAAAAAAAAATACACTGTAAAATACAGTTATAAACCATAGTACTTCTAAAATACAGCAACTTTCCAGGTCAAAATGAAAATTAATAGGTGGAGAAAAAAGCTCCAAGCTCTTGAGAACCTATTATCTACATTCATATTTGAAGCACATTTAGTATATTTCTATTGTTGTTAAAACAAAACTACAAGTCTGTTGTCAATAATTTACAATAAAATTTGTGATTTATCATTTTTCTAATTCATGAGGCTTAAGAAAAATATGTCTAAAAAAACCCTAAAAAATGGAAGTAGTCCACATATTGGTAGTCTACTGACAGTTAATCAATAGCAGCTGTGTAAAGCAGATATTTCTGAGTTGAGCTGTTTTGTTTTTTCAACCCAATGCACCAATGCAGCTTTTTTTTTTTTTTTTTTCTCTTGGCCTAACTAGGTCATCTGAATCATCTCAGTCAGCAGGTATCTGATGGAATATGCATTAAAAATGCCATGTACAGAGATGTTCAGAAGTTTTGGGAATGTGTCACTGGAACGAAGGCTGTGCGTGAATAAAGTGCATGTGGGAGAATACAGGGCTTAACTGAATAGCCAAAACTACTACAGAAAGAAAGAAGGGGAAGCAGAAGCAAAGTTTGAGACCTTCTATCACATGCTTTTTTTTTTTTTTTTTGGCCTGTTCGTGAATGCCAGAACTAACAGGTTATTCTAATATACAATCAAGAACTTTACTGGCCTTTAAATCTTGCAATTGCACAGGGATCCATCGCTTCTTCCCATGCTTCTTCCCACTACAAAGTGTATGAAATTTTAACATCCCCGTAAACATCTTTCAGCCTTCTTTTGTATTAAGAGCTCCAATTCTTTCAATCTTTCAATGTCTTCTAGATCTCTCATTATTCTGCTCTCATTTCTTCCTTAAAACATGGTACCAAAACTAACATTCCAGTTAATTCTTTGCCAACACCAAGCCAATGGACAAAGTTACTTCATGCATCTTCTTTGCACACACATTTCACAAAAGATTTCATGATTAACCTCCAATTTTCTTAAGAAACTTAATAAAGACTAACTTTAAGTTAAACTAGTCCCTTGATTCAGTCCATTCTTCAGCCTAGAGACAAGGGATTTTGGAAGGGCACAAACAGCAGGGGATTTTGGTACTCCCAGATCTGGCTCTATCTGCAACAGAATGTATGTCAAAACACGGTTGCAGTATTTTAATTTCACTCATGCCCTTCTTTAATTTCATCCTTTTTTTTCCCTCAGACCACTTTTTTACCCTTCTCTAAAATATCAACATGCTGCAAAATTAATAAGCATTTGCTTTATTTCATCATGCAGATAATTAAAACATTGAACTGAACCAGATCAAGGGCAAACAAAGAACATCGTTCAACACAGTTTTGCGTTTTGACAGCTACCAGCAAGTGGTACTCTTGAGACACAGTCATTCAAATCAGTCTTACTCATTTTATGTTGTACGTCCAAACTGCACGAGAATATCGAACTATATGAGAAGCTTGACCAATGCCACCTTCCATAGCCTGAGCGTGGGACTACCTGATACAGGACACTTACAGTGACAGTAAAGAGGAGACGGGCAACATGAGACAGACATCTCACCCACCTAAAGGCAAGTGGCTTTTTATTTCTATACTCCCTCTTCCTCATTCTCCTTTCACAGAGCATAATATACCTTTATTGTCATCAGAATAGTTTTCTTAAAAAGTGTGGCGTGGAACTTCTGCACACTAATTATATCTTGAACTTAAAATTACAGGAAATTAAGTCACATTAAGAACAATCACCAGATTTATCAAGTTAAGTGAAAGTCTCTTTCCCCACCTATACATCAAGTGTTCAGTTCCTTGGGTGGAGGGAGAAGCAGGATGGAAGTGTTTGAAGGAAAAACATGGAAGTTAACCCAAAGCTTAAGACAGAAAATTATTTCTTAAGTCTGGAGCTTAAGACAACAGCATTAATATCTGCTTTCCTACCAAACAAAAGGGTTTCTTCCCCCTTTAACAAGAGCTCCAGAGCACAGGAATCTGCATTTCTATTTGCAGTATATTAAGAACTCAAATACTCATTGGACAACTATTTCCACTCGGTGGCTCTCAACTGTAATTAGCTCAGTTCATGGATCACATTAATTTCTCATTTCTGCAGAAGTCAGGCGCAGTCTTACAAGTTTAGCTTAGACACTTGGCAGTGCTCTACTTGCCAAAAATCTTAAGAACTACTGTGCTTCAAAAGGCTCAGAAGATTTAGAACTCCAACTTAGGTACAACCAAGATGAATGCTAAAAAGTTTTCTGCTATACCCACCTCTGAACGCAGCAATCAAATCTGAGGTAACACTACTGAACTCTAACACACCACCATTACAATGCCAGCTATTCCAGCTGTGAAGGATTACAAACAAGGGGTAGAATAATACATCCCATATTTCTAAGAATTGACTTAGCATCCACTTGCATGGAAGGGAAGACTTCTGTTCAGTACCTGCAGTCTGTAAATAAGCCTGATAACAATAAAACCACTTTTTAATCATTTTACATAGCAGATATACACAAAGAGATGTAGCTTTAAAACATAATTTTCTTTAAAAAAAAGATTAAAATGATCTTACCTCAACAGAACACCGTGGAGTCACAAAGAACTGATTAAACTCATCAGGGCTGAACTCCCCAAAAATATACTAAAAAATAAAAGAGAAAGATCTTTGTTAAAGAAGGATTAAATCTGATGCAATTATGTACAGTCATAGTAAAATTTAACAAGATATTGGCATTTAAAATGATTTGTGTTGAGAGCCTGAAACTCTCACTTTATTGCCCTCCTTACTGGAATAAATAAATAAATAAAACCCCATACAGTATTTGTTAAGACTTCAGAGGGTTTACTCCAAAAAAGAACGAACAAAAACCATAGACTCCCTAGCAATTACAAAAATTTAGCTTAAAATAAGCACGTGTTATATACACATATATAACGAATGTGGAAATAGTATAACCATATTGATGCTATTCAGCTTAAAAATCTTAATACAATCCTATTTGCTCCACAAATAATTCTAACAATCAAAACAAACCAGAACATTTGTTTAACAGCTAATTGTTTTAAATAATATCCCCCCAAAAAACCCCAATACTATCAGCTGCGACAGTACAACACCCAAACAGAACAGAATTCTTAAATTTCATGAATGGCTTCATAGTTCTCGGCACAGAACTTAAACTTCCTTTATGCTCTCAATACAACTGAGACATTTTTATTCAGTATAATAACTGGAATTTATCACCCTCCCAAAACATGCTGAATCATAACTAAACTGTATTTTTCAGACCTTTTTTATGTACTCATGCAAAAAAGAACAAACCAAAAAACCCCAAACCCCTAAACTATAGACTGTTAGAAGCTGCACTAATCCAGTTCTAACCAACCCCACCGCCTTATAACAATATATTCTTTTTTCTCTACCAACATTTTCAACCGAGGTACTGTAGGCCTAGCACTTCTTTCGGAGCAAAAGACAGTGCTACTTTTCAATTAGGGAACAGAAGCCAAAATTAAATAAAGCGATTATTAATATTATCCTAATAGAATCACTTTACAAAACAATGAAGTATTCACGCAGGGAAACACTGTGCAGATGCAACTGTTTCTTCATAATTGAAAACAGGACACAGAAAATTTACTAACCTCTAATCCAGAAACTAATCCTAGTCAGAGTACAACGCAAAAGAAAAAAAAAAAAACCATTTCCCCACAGGGCAAATATCCCTTACTACTTGGATGAGAAAAAACCAGAATTTTATTTGATTTTATTGATAGCAGTGCGTAACACTTGCAAACACAGTCAAGTTACAGTTCATAACAAGACAAGTATCAGGCCATAGGATTGCTGGAACTAATCTACCTTCTTATTCTCTACTTCTTAAGTCATCCAATCTCTAAATAAATAGATTCTGCAAGTTAAGTTTCTTGTTCTCTCTTTTTTTTTTTTTTAAAGGCATAACTGCCTGCTGAAGTGAAAAGGAACAGACACCCCATCATTTAGCAGGTATAATAATCTTTACCGCAAAGAGGATGCAGAGGGAGAAAAGCCACTGCCTGTTAACATCCAAAACACAGTGTGAACTCCACGACTGCTGGCCACGCTGTCCTACAGCCCAATAAATTGGCGTGGCTGCCACTATAAAGATCAGCTACCTCTATGCAAGAATACATCTGATTTTAGCTGTGAAACGTAGCTTCAGAAAGATACCACCATACCATTTTACATAGTTCAAACGTTAAAGGTTTTTCTGCAACTGAAGCGTCTTTTTTCCTGACTAAACATATGTCCACCTCTAAATTTGCAGGTACTTCATAATAGCTTGAGGGCGCAATGACAGACTGGGACTTCACCATACGAGCGTGGAATGAAAAGTGTTTTCCAAATACAAACAGGTTGGGACAGCTCGAGTACAGGCAAGGACTGCAATTGCTAACACAGTATATAAGGCAAGAGAGGTGTCTTGACAGAATAAAGCGAAAATGGCAGATACTATGTGAATTAGTTTAATCAGCAGGGTGCCACTTCTTTAGAAGCACTACATTTTTGAATAATGCAATATCACAACTCTAAGACTACAGAAAGTGGAGCGCTTAGCAAAATCCAGGACTACTACCATGAATAATATATAACCTAAATATGGTTAAATGTTGTTTGTATAGATGGTTGTGTCTGGCAACACGCAGACACAAAATATTACAAATTATCACCAATGAAAAACAAGATTTAATTCTTTCAAAATCTTCACAAATTTTGAGGCAAAAATTAATCTGCTTGGGTTTTTCCCCAAGCAAAACCAGTATTCAATTACCTATTTAAAAAAGTTAATCTTAACTAATCTATAACCCCCTCCCAAAAGCAACAAAAACATCTGTTTTAAAAGCATGTTAAATATTTAGTAGCTGAGGAGATAAGCGGTAACCCACGAACAAGGAAAGAATCGTACTTAATGGATAGTCCAGTGTTCCATCAACATGCAACATGAAAGAAAGTCAAGGGGACCTCAGAGGGAAAAAAAAAAAAAAAAAATCTGCCACAGTTTTGCCCCTAGACTTATTTTGGCAAATACATAATCCTTAAGAGGCTTAATTTGAAGTCAAATGCGCCCTCCCTCTCCTTCTCAAACCACCTCTGTAACCTACAGCTTTCTGTTCCAGCTCTGGGAAAGGAACAAGTTTTCTGAAGGCCCTGAAGGATGAAAATTGTTAAACTAAGTTCTATCCCCACTGACTGTTTTTTGCTGTGTACTCCTTAACAACTTATAGAACAAATGCAAACGTTACTCCACTGCCTGAAATACCACTGGTATTCCAGTCTAGCAACAAGAAAGCTCTTCTGGAGGAGCGCAAGAAGGAGGAAAACATATTACACCATTGCTTGTCCTAGAAAAACGAGTAGTGAAAATAGCGCTCATGCATCAGCACTTTGGCATCACCTGTGCTTGGAGAGAGCTACAAAAATGAGATGTCAGCTTCTGCTTTCAAGCAGCATTAATGTGGCTTTCATCTAATAAAAAAAAAGCTCCAGATCTTCCAGCCAAATTAGTTTTAACTGTAAATACTCTCACTTCAACTGCTTTTTCTACAGATGAGTTAAAAATACAGCTTTTCCTTAAAGGTAGCAAGAAATAGTCCCACTGTATCAAACCAAAAGGCCTAATAAGTCAAAAGTACTTCATATACAAACCAAAGTGACGAAACAGTCCATGTACAACATAAGCTCTGCAGCTTTGCTCACCCAGCTGCTTCTACGTGTTCTTATTCCTAAAGCTGTCTGGATTACCTGGAGTAGAGGAAAATAAACCCATTCAGAGAGAAGCCCTTTTGATACTGTGGAGAAACTAGCAAGGGAAACAAGGGTCCGTGTGTATGCGTGCACGTGGCATTTATAAGCGGAGATAACGCTGTTAAATTATTCATCCCACAAGCAAGTATGGTGTTTCTGTCTCATCCTTTACTTCTTTCCTACACTTTGAGTTGGTTACCTCCATTTTCTTGGAAGTGTATGGAAAGACACCATTTCCTGAGGTTCCTTCCTCAAGAGGAAGGAATCCATGAAGATTTAGTATGTGTATTATTACTTAATTTGATATAAAGCTTTCTGAACTCTCAAATCCCAAGAAACTCCTTGCTAAGACATTTATAAAAACATAGACATGAATGAAAACAGGTTCATATTTTTTCAACACTGGATTTTCAACAAACAGCCTGTTAACTAGAAGTGCACTGGCCATGTTTGTTACTGTGCAGTCTGCAATAAAGCTATATTTCAGGAGAACTAACTTCTCAAAATAATTCTGTTGATAGTAATTTTAAATTATACCTCAGAATTTATGGAAGAATAAGGTCTATTTTCATAAATAAAGAGTTTGGCAATGCTGAAACTTTGGACATATGAGTAAGCTTCACCATGGTGGTAGAGAGACCGTGTACTAAAGCTTTTAACAACTGAAAACACAAATTGTAAGCAAATTGTTAGCAAACCTTGCAGCCCTTAATGACTAGCCTGGAGCTTGAAACTAGATCATTGTAACAAATCTTGTGCAGAGCGTCTGCAGAAAGATCCAAGCTGGGTAGGCCAAATGTAATCCATGAGTCACTGCAACTTTGCCTCCGTACCATTTAAGCAATCGAAGGCTCAAAACTTAGCACGTAACTTGACTATTACTTTTTCCAGCTTAGTGCTTCTTAGATATTATTACAGCATTCTTACAGCTCAAGAAAATGTTTTCCAAATGTTACTTGAACTATCCTGAGAGGTATTTATTCCATTATAGGGAAAAAAAAAAAACACCCTTAGAAACTCATTTTGTAATCAGAGAGAAAAGAAAAGGATCATTGCCCAGCATGAAAGCAGCAGTTAGTCGTATCCACAGTTAATGGAAGGACAGGTTTAATGAACAACTATCATGTACAGCCTGACATTAGCATGGGTGCACATAATATGGATCGGAACTGCTTACTATAAAGCCTGTAATCCAAAAATGTATAGAAACAGAAGCAATCTTTTTTTCCCCCTACATTGACTACTAGTTGTCCTTTTCCATAAAAATAATTTCCACAGCTTTGACCACACATTTAAAATAAGATCAGTATCCCAATCATTAATCATGAAAAAAAAAAAAATCTGTCAAGACATCAGGTAATTTCTTACACCAAAACCTAGTCTATTCACACGTTCTCTTCATTCCTTATCAAAAACAAGGTGCTTGTTGGAGCTCTTCCATATCAAACAAATAGCAGCTGGCACAAAGTTCAACTACCCTGAAAAAGCTTATCTACAAAGTGCTGATTATAGTTAGTGGTGGGAGCCACACACTTGCTCTGCTTTCCTTTTTTTTTTTTTTTTTTTTTTTTTTTTTTTTTTTTTTTTTTTGAAGAGGAGCATCTTCCCTGCAGCTTCCACTAGAAACAAAGGTAACAGCACTTCTTCCTGTGCTACGCAAACAAAAGCTGCAGAAAACAGCAGTGATTTGGGGACTACAGAAGAAATACGTAGTAAGGACCTGCTACATAGCTAGCAAAATGGGAGGATGAAAACTAAGGTGTCAGAGCTGATTCCATCAAATTTCTTAGCTCCCTGGAGAGTAAAAGAAGGAATTTCTGACACCTTTGCACCAGTATTTCCATCAACTACAAGCCCACAGAATATCTGCCAGTGCTTGAGAGCAGTAACTTTTTCCAAGCTATTTTAATGCAACCCATTAAATGAGAATGAAAGCCAAGCATAAAAACACTCTCTTACTATTTTTTTTCCAAACAGGCAATCATTGTGATTATTAAGAAAAAAAAAAAAAAAAAAAGCTTCCAAAATCAGTATATAGAACCTTCCTCAATTTTGAAATCAAGAACAATGGTCAATAAAAACAACTGTCCCTAAAACTCTATTTTCAGGAGTTGGAAAATACCAGCTTCAAGCTGTTGGCTCACAGCTGAACAGATAAATTTAGTTCAGAGCTCTGCTTGCACTGAACTAGTTTCGGAATTATTCTGATTTACACCTGAATTATTCTGATTTACTGTAGTATGATAAGCACTGAGGGAAAAAAAAACATGAAGTAACTCAAGAATACAGTCAGTTTTACTACTATTTTATTATAGGTGGGGCAAGCAGGACAATCTTGCCCTGTATTTCCCATTAGAAAAACCCACGTGTTAGCTATTTCTATCTTAACCACACTAAAATCACACATGCCGCTACCTTCAAGGCAACTATTAACCTTCAAATAAAGTATAAAAATAAATAAATAAATAAATAAAGCATGCAGAATTGGACAAAGCTGTAAAGGAGTAGAGGGCGGCAAGGGAAGTGAAAAAAACTACAACAAGGCCTTGAGTTTTAAGAAATTAAACACAGTTGAATTAAGCACCTTTTTAAGTGGTTTAGGAAAAGAGATTACAACCAGTTAGACAAAATATGAGAAACAAGCTTTAGATGAACAGAGGATATAAGATCAGAAGTTATGGGTGGAGACAGCAGAGAACAAGAAATGGACAGAGCCTGGCAGAGTACTCTTCAGAAACCTAATTACCACCCTTAATTCTGGAATCACATTATTTCTGTACTATTATCACAAGTCTGTTTGAAACCAGAGCAGTACGTATCTCAATTTTTCTGAATAATATTCCCTTCTCTTGTGAATTGCTCCATGACCTTAAATAGAAGCTTTCCATGCCTCTTTCCTGTAGGCAAAGGTTCTAACATTGGAGCTGCTGCACACGGGTTCTGGAAAGCCACCCCATTATTTAAGATGAGGAAATTAAACAACAACAAAAAGCAGATTTCTAAAATCAAGTTCTCAAAAGGAAAGCTGCACAAAAGTTAATATTGATTTTATCTTCATCTGATATCAGCTCCTTTACGTATGATACCTTCTTTGCTCATTTCCACAATCCACATTTTCCCAGAGAGCGAACAGAATACAGACCTGTGCTGAGGATGATTCCTCAGCGAGCAGTATAGCAGACTGGCGACCCAGTTTGTCAAGTAAGCTGAGAAAAAACACTTTAAGATCAGCAAAAGTGGAGGCGAAGAAATGGAAAGCCTCTGAATAGCTGTAGCTAAGTCTCTTGGAAAACTAAAATCGATCGCTAATAGCACCAGAGCTAGACAAGTCACCCACACAATGCTTTTCACAAGCAATTACTCAGAGTAGGATTTAAGATAGCTAATTTTTCCCTCATCTAATTTTAGCTATCTGGTCTCCATCCTGACAAGGAATACAGATTAGCACCTTAAGAAGGCAATTTAGCCCACCTAGGACTGATGCGCTTGTTATGGGCCTAACTTAACAGCTCACTCCTGAACCTCAGAAGGGCTGAAGGTTCAGAAATGTAGCTGAAGGAGATCTACCGTGCGAAGCCCTGGGTTATTCTGAATATTCTGCAAAGTCCTATCAAAAGAGCACTGGCCACTTTTTCCTCCT